CTTGCTGAGGCTGAACAGGTTCAGGTCCATCAGTCTCTCCTCATAGGGCCTGTCCTGCTGCCCTCTCACCAAGCGGTGGGCCCTCCTCGAAACCCCCCCCAGGCTGGCCACATCCCTTTTGAAGTGCAGCGCCCAGTATTGGATACAGTACTCCAACTGCGGCCTGACCAAAGTCGCATAGAGGGGGAACATCACCTCCCTGGACCGGCTTGAGATGCACCTTTGGATGCATGACAAGGTATGGCTGGCCTTGCTGGCTGCGGTCTGGCATTGGCGGCTCGTGTTCATCTTGGAGTCAGTAATGATTCCAAGATCCCTTTCTGCCTCTGTGCTTTCAAGAGGGGAACTCCCCAGCCTGTATGTATGCTGTGGATTCCTTCTCCCAAGGTGCAGCACCTTGCATTTATCTACGTTGAACCCCATCCTATTCTCATCTGCCCACATTTGTAGTCTGTCTAAATCTAGTTGCAGCCTCCCTCTCCCTTCAAGTGCATCCACCTCGCCCCACATCTTGGTGTCATCAGCAAACTTGGACAGCGTGCTTTCTACCCCCATGTCCAAGTCGCTGATGAAGATGTTAAATGGTGCGGGCCTGAGGACCGAGCCCTGGGGTACCCCACTGCTCGCATCTCGCCAGGTTGAGTACAACCCGTCCACCACTATTCTCTGGGTGTGCCCCATCAGCCAATTTTTTACCCATCCAACTGTGCAGGCATCAATGCCACAGTCGCTTAATTTATTGATGAGGATGGGGTGAGAGACTGTGTCAAAGACCTTCTTAAAGTCTAGAAAGACTATGTCCACAGCGACACCATCATCCAAGGATTTAGTTACTTGGTCATAAAAGGCAATGAGGTTGGTCAGACAGACCTGCCTTTGATGGACCCTTGCTGATCGCCCCTGAGCATGATCTCCCCTGCAGGCCCCCCCACAGATGTGTTTCTTGATGATTCTCTCCAAGATCTTCCTGAGCACTTCCTTAAAAAGCATGTACTGTAAATATTAACATTTTTGTTGAAACAGCTATCTTTTATGTTTACAGGTTTATTAATTTGTTTTGTGTATAGATCCTATATTGTGCAATTCACATGTTACCCTTGGGGAAAGTGGTATGTTATCATGCTGAATAATGATCAGGAAACGGTTACTGTTGATTAGCTATTTTTCCTCAAAGGAATGTAATTTACATAAATTAATGGAGCTCTTAGCAATCTTTTTTGCCAGATTGAAAATATTTACCATTCTTTTTCAACTATTAGGACAATAAGATATTTTTGGTAATTTGCGGTAGTTACTTAATTTGATCACTTGATGGCGTTCTGGATTCTAAAGTTTAAAGCCATCAAAATGAAAATAGATTTAGATTTTTTTTCTCTGTTCTATTAAAAGGCTTCTGAGGCCAGCTGATCAGTTTTAAATAGTGTGTCACTGGACAAAATTTGAAGATAAGATGCCTTCTTTGTAGGAAGTATTTAAAATCTCAGTGAAGTTAGAAACCTTAATTCAGGGAAGTCAGAATACTATGCAGGTAGATAATGCATACGTAGTTCAGAGCCTCTTTGGTTTAAATAGAGAATGTATTTTTTATGTGTATTGTAAGTGGCTCCCCACTGAATAGAATGGAATGTCACAGTGATTTGCTCATGATCCATGTTGGATTGCTGTATTTTGAACGTGTACTTGGTTTAAGGTGTGTTTCTGGGTTTTTGGATTTTTTTCCTAAATATGAATAGCAATAATCAAATCTTGATTTCTAAAAGTTTAGATCACTGTGGTCAGGTCTGAGAGCTGTCCACTTCTTGACCAGAGAACTGAAGTTTGACAGACAGGGTTTTGCTCAGCTTTTTAATCTCTTTTTAGAAAAAAAGTTCTTGATGCTAAGCATTAATTTGTGGAGTCAGGGCTTCTAAGTGAGGGCTGGGGTGGCACAGGTACTAGGGTGTGCAGTTGACAGCTCTGTCATAGCTTGGCCACACTAGCAGCGGCAATGGTCTCCTGTGGCTGTACATCACATGTCATTCCGCCACTGCACCGCAGGTTGGGGCAGCCCAGGCTCCCCCACCCAGAGGCATAGCAGCACAGCTCCATGCCTGGGGCAGCACCAGCTGTCATAGTACCACATGCAGCAGCAATTTGCTGCTAGTATGGTCATAGCTATGCCCTTCTACAAAGGTAGCACCTGAGGGTGCTGCCCTCATTGACACCTTGTCATTGCTGCTGTTGCACTACACTCTTCTGTCCCCTGGGATGAGGAAGAAGAAGCTGGAGGGAGAGGGAGCCCAGAGACCCCAGCTGCAACCAGAGCAGTGGGAGCCCAGGGGCTGCAGTTTAACCCCTAGGCCAGGTATAGAAATTACCAGTATAAGTGGTCAGAAACTGTTTTACACCTGTAATGGAACAGGAGTTTGCTGCACACAGGGTGATTTTAAAAATGACAGAACCTGGTCTAAAATTTGCTGTTTCCCTTCCCCACTTCTCCTTCCCCAAGGCAAGTGTGTGTGTGTGTGTGTGTGTGTGTGTGTGTGTGTGTGTGTGTGTGTGTGTGTGTGTGTGTGTTGTTCACTATGAATCTAAACTATGCCACTTATAGAAAACTGCATAACCTAGAGGGGGCATAGGCCATGTATTGGGAGTGCAGGGGGCAAAAGCCATGCATGGGAGGGGGTGTACATGCCCCCATATATTTCAGTTCCCACAGTGGGGCTGCAGTGGGGCTTGACCAGCTCTGGGCAGGTGCCAGGGCCCAGTGGACAGGACTCGGCACAGGAAGAAGTGCTGCACTGCCATGGTTGCCAAGGTGAGGCATCTCCTGCCCACTTGGCAGCATCAGGGGGCACAACCTCCCACACCAAGTCCTGCTCACTGGGCTGTGGAGGCAGTGCCTGGTCTAGCCTGACTGCAGGCCCACATCCTGCTGTGGTCACAGAAATCTGGGGAGCATGTGTCCCCTCCCCAATGCATTGCTTATGCTCCCCTACCTGTGTCACAGCCCCACGCCACTGCCATGCCTTACCGTGACAGCATGGCACTCCCTCCCACACCAGGTCCTGCCCACTGGGCTGCGGAGGTAGTGCCTGGTCTAGCCTGACTGCAGGCCAACATCCCACTGTGGGCACAGAAATCTGGGGGAGCATGCCCCCCCCCCCCCAATGCATTGCTTATGCTTCCCCACCAGTTGGGACTGAGGGGCACCAGCAGAGCTGGAGGGACTGTGGGTCGAGAGTGAGGGACAATGGCATATCAGGGCTATACAGCACCACAGAGTGGTGGGGGGAGATGACAACCGCAGCTGGACCCACATCCTGGTGAGTGAAGGGGGCAAGGGGAGCTCTGATTTTTCCATGATAAAAAAAAAAACCCAAATCAAATGCCAAAATATAGGTATTTAGGATTTATTTAATTATAATGATTGAGGTGCTGGTGGGTTTCCAAATTGCTTTAAAATTGTAAATACAGTAAAAGCATTATCCAGCACCTTACAAGCTGGCATGCTCTATTAACCAGCGTGCTGGCTTGTAAGGTAAAAGCAAAACCAGAAGTGCCCACCATGGTACTTCCAGTTTTGCCAAGCCCCCACGGCCTGAGACAAAGCAGCCTGCTCAGGGCCTGCCTCCCTGTCCCTCGGCACCCACGGGAGGGATGGCGACACACCAGATGCAGCGGGAGAGGTGGCAGCCCGAACAGGTAAAGACACCTGTTCAGGCCTCTCAGGTAATATATAGATACAATATAGAAAAATGGCTTTGGAGAAAATCAGAGAATTTGGATTTTTAAACAGAAAACCAGGATCCCCGATAATCATACAGTTTGCTCTGTCTAAATTCCAGCTATTCTTTGCCACAATGAGAAAGTCTTAGAAGCAATATGCTTGATCTGTTGTTTCAGTATCACACCTGGAAATACTGATTTCTATAATTTCTCTGTAAAATAAGATCCTTTACAAGCTTTTCTGTCTTCTGGGGTTGAATGCAGTAAACTGAGTTTATAAGGCTATATTTCCATTCTGGAAAGCTGTCTCTAGATTTGATTTTGCTGTTACCTAGAAAAGAAATGGTTGTTTGCATGTGAAAACTAGTTATGAAACTCCTTAAATGTCTATCAGACTGCTTTTCCTATTCCAGCACTGCTTTTCCATTCGTCCTTTTACATTCCAGATCTTTTAAAAGCCATGCTGATCTGTGTGGCTGAGAGAGGTTGTCTTTATGCTAGTGGATGTTTTGGCAGTAATAATGTGATCAATGTAATCACTATGGGGAAAGTGCTATTTTCTTTGGAAGATAATGTCCCCTATACTAGAGAGAAAAGCACTGTTCTCTTGTAATGTCATAACATTACGAATATAAATTCTTTGTATTTTTGTACTGTTGGTTTATGTAGTGTAAGAAGATAAGAAAAAACTTTGTGACAGTTGAACAGAGGAAGAAAATTAGTTGTCCTCTCTAAACTTTATATTTATTTCAGAAAAACCCTGAAGTATTGTAACTGATGAGCATATTTTGCATTTAATTTCCTAGTGAATTTATCATTGGAACTGAGAGTTTGCACAGCTAAGGTTTGTAGATATTCAGGTTGCTTAAGAACCCAGTAGGTTTTTATAAATTAAAAAAACAACCCTTTTTTATGCTGCACTTAGGCATGAAAACCTTCATCTAAACAACAAGCTTTTACTTGTATTTGAAAGTGGGACAGTAGATTGGAAGTTCTATATTAGCTCTTAACAGTTACCTTTCTTGTGCGATTCTGAATAGCATGCTGAGAGAGAGACTTTGAAGCATGGAATGTGTATTTGCAGTGTCTTTTTAAGAATGAATTTTA